GCCTTTCCAGTTCTGCTTCTGTCAGAGGTTGGGTTTTCTTCTTCCACTTTAAGACAACATATTGTAACACATTCCATACAAACACAGTTGTCTTAATAAATCAGACAGGAAAAGATTTACACTCATGTATAACAGTGCCCCTTCTCTCTGAATTTTAACTTGGGAAAACGTATCTATTTTTCTTAAAAAGTGGTTTATGTTAACGTGTAATGAGTACATTGTCATTTTAAATGAATTAATATTTTTAAATCTCAGTTTTAATTTCTAATAGGAATTGAATGTAATAGGGTTAAAAAAAAAGCTTTCAGATTTCCCAGAGCAGCTGACTTTAGAAATGATTTCTATATAACCTACATAGACAGAGCTTTTTGTAATCTTCAGTGATTTTTAAGAGGACAAAGAGGTCCCGAGACCCGAAAGTTTGGGAACCACTGACTTCAGCACTAGCGTGACCAACAGGGCAACTGTTAGAGGAGAAAGTGTGTGTTTCGGCATTAGCAGCTGGCTTTAACGTCTGGATCTGCTGTATTTCCTAGAGGCAAGTTATCTAATCTATTGGGGCAAATTTTATCTCTCTGAGACTTAGTTTCCTTACTTGTAAAATTGACAGTAATAAAGCTGTTTTGTTTGTTGAAGGTTAAGTAGTTGTTTTGATGTTATCTTTTAAAGTTTTTTCATTAGGTGTTACAATGCCAAGCATGACTACCACCCATCATTTCTTAAAAAAGAGATTGTGAAATTATTTGAAGATGTTATCTTCTGCCTGGGTGCCATATTCACGTCTAAAACTTCCCCTTGAACCTTTATGCACATGTTCAAGTATTGGGTTGGCCAAAAAGTTTGTTCAGGTTTTCTTGTGAGCACTTATGGAAAAACCCGAGTGAACTTTTTGGCCAAGCCAATACATGTGTAAACTTAAAATTTTACAATTAGAAAAGCAGTGAAACTAATTCAGAACATTTACTTAGGCATGATGAGACAGATGGTAGTCCTATAAAAAGATGGCATATATTTTTGGAAGTGCAAACAGAAAAACAGATACTCTTAAAAATTCCAGAGTAATCTTTGCCTAGGAAAGGAAAGGAAGAGATAAAAGACCATATGGCCTGATAGAACTTTTGTAGTTTCTCATGTTTGGGATTGAATTTTGTTTATTGAGTGTTATTATTAAGTTGCATATGGATTTATAGTTGAAAAAAGGAATTATCATCAAGTGGATAGTTACCAAGTAGTTTTAGTGTAGTTACCAGTCCTGTTTTCTGTGAGATGGATGCGACAGTGGGAAGCAGGGACATTTGACCCACAGACCTAGTAGTTAGTTAGTTAGTATTGTCACTCAGTTGTACCCAACTCTCTGCGACCCCATGGACCACAGCGCACCAGGCTCTTCTGTCCATGGGATTTTCCGAGCAAGGATACTGGAGTGGGTTGCCATTTCCTTCTCCAGGGGAACTTCCTGACCCAGGGATCGGACCCGGGTCTCCTGCATTGCAGGCAGATTCTTTACCATCTGAGCTCCGAGGGAAGCCAGACCTAGGAAGGGTGAGTTAAAACGACACTTGCACATCCGAGTCAGAGAGTGATTGTGCTGTTGAGGCAATTGCATGCATCAGCATCGAGTCGTCTGTCACTGTGGACCTTTCCTTTGAGTGTCTCACTCATTTTACTTTGCTGTTCATTCAACAGATGTCTGTGGCGTGCCTTCTTTGGGCCAGATCCATGATGGGTGCTGGGATAACATGCTGAGAAAAAAATGAACACTAGTCTCTGCTTTTGAGTCAATTATAGCCTTCTGGAGTCATAGGTATTAATCACGTAATCATACAGATAGATGTAAGCATACATCCCAGATGGAAATTCGAAGCTGGAGAGGTGTGCAGTGTCCTCAGATCCCCTAATTGGAGGATTTCACCTAATCAGGAAGAGCAGTTTATGTTCCCTGAGGAATTGACAGGTGAGCTGAAGTTCAAAGGAATTAGTCAGAGAGGAGAAGGAATACAGAAGCAGTTCAGGTCCAAGGAGCAGTATGTTAAAAAGTTCTGTGTTGAATGAGAATGTGATGAATATGAGTGGAGCGGAAATCACCAAGGACAGCCACACGGTGTAGAACTTTATTGACCATGTTAAGGAGCTGTGTAACCTTTCCCTATGATGATGAATTACCTCTTGAGGTGAGGTGTGAGGGAAGTGGAGGTGGGCGGGGTGTCCGATCACCGCAACTCCTGGGCCCCTTCCACGGTCCTGGATGCCTGGGACACGTCAGTGAGTGGAAGAGGAGGGGAGCGACGGAGAGCCCGTTACCCAGGACAACCGAAGTGTCTTTCTGTAAGAGGGTTTGTGGTGCAGCCTGAATGGCATGACCAGGGCCGGTCTCATCGAAAAGGTGACCGTTGGGAAGACTTGACCGAAGCTGGGGTGGGGGGTTGTATAATGTTGCAGCCAGCACCCAGGCCCTCGATGGCAGCGAGTTTATAGTGTTCCGAGCACCAGGAGGAGCGGGGTGAGGATGGGAGCCTCAGGCCCCTGTGTCCTGCACTGAGGGAGCCCAGAAGCTCTCTCAGGTCTTCTGCAGCGGGGCAGGCAGGGTTTGAGGGAGACCAGAGCGGATTCTCTCCTAGTCAGGCCTCCTTTCCGCATCGTGTTCTGGATCTTTCTTCATCTTCTGGACTTGCTTTTCAGGACTTAACCTCCCTATGCATCTCTGAAGCTTGGACTTACAGCATGTGGCACGTGCCGCAGAGGTTTTCCCTCCACCCCTGGCACACGTCTGTCTGTGTTCCTCGCTGCATTAGCTGTGTCTGCACACACACGTTTCTAATGGTCAGTATAGCCGCAGCTGGTGGCCCTAGAAGGATTTGCAACTGCAGCTGTTGCCTGCCAGAACTGAGGCTGTCCCTAAAATTATGTCACAAAATTGGGACCTTATGAAGAATTACTTGCAAATGGAAGTTAGATGTTAGCAATTGACTCACGTTTAAGTCTCTCCAGTGCTTATGTGTTGAACTTGAGCTCTTCCTGCCCATCCATTGTTAGAAAATTTTAGAGGCTACAGGGAGTGCTGGGGAAGCTTGGATAGCCCTCCCTGAGTGCTCCAAATGACTCCAGGCGATTGTTTTAACATTTTAACATCTTGCATTTTATTCAGAAACGTTCATCTGTTTTTCAGATGATGCCGTTTTCCATTAGGGTTTGGCAGAGGATGTTGACTGGTTCCCTGTGCTCTATGCTACACAGTAGGGCCTTGTTTACCCGTTGTGTATGTAATGGTTTACTTCTGCAAACTCCAGTCTCCCAGTCCGTCCCTCCCCACTCTCCACCCTCCTTGGCAACCACAGGTCTGTTCTCTGTGTCCATGAGTCTGTTTCACAGATAGCTTCATTTGTGTCATGTTTTAGATTGCACGTATGCGTGATATCAGACAGTATTTGTCTTTCTCTTTCTGATTTACTTCACTTAGTATGATAATCTCCAGTTCATCCATGTTGCCACAAATGGTATTACTTTGTTTTTTTTAACGGCTGAGTAGTAGTCCATTGTGTGTATAAACCACAGCTTCTTCATCCATTCATCTATTGATGAACATTTAAGTTGTTTTTATGTCTTGGCTGTTGTGAATACTGCTGCTATAAACATAGGGGTGCATGTATCTTTTTGAATTAGAGTTTTCTGATTGCTAAATCATATGGTAATTCTGATTTTAGTTTTCTAAGGAACCTCCATACTCTTTTCCATAGTGGCTGTACCAACTTGCATTCCCATCAGCGGTGTAGGAGAGGGTTCCCTTTTCTTCACATCCTCTCTAGCACCTGTTATTTGTAGAGGTTTTAATGACAGCCATTCTGAGGGATGTGAGCTGGTACCTCATTGTAGTTTTGGTTTGCTTTTTTTTTTTTTTTTAAATAATAGAGAGCTGAACTAACATTTTATACCATTCATAGAAAGCCAATGGGGCCTGACCCACTAGGTCAAGTTTTTAAGTACAACAGGTTTACCTGCTTGGGTTTGGGAGATATTGGGGTAACACTCCAGACACACAAGACATAATCCGTTTTGGATACTGAGCCATTGATCTAGTTTATCAAGAATTTGCTGATTTTCGGCTCTTATTATAAATGGTACTTTCTTTACAGCATCCCTGTTGTGGGGGCTAAGCATGTTTGTTTTCTCTTGTATTCACTGCCTCCAGTTTTATGGATATTGGTAATTAAGTTTTCTTAATCTCTGTAAATTGATGGCGATTTTTTTGGTGGACAAAATTGGATTCATTGCTAGTGAGCCAGAAAATGACCACTTAACACGCGGAGGTTTTTATTAGTCTTCACATCACTATTTTCTGCCTGTTAAGACAAATAACGCAGTTTCTCCTACTGTGAAGAACTGTACCTCTTGTTACGGGTGTCCCCTGCAGGGGAAAGCACCTGTCTCGGGAGGTCTGGGCTGGGCGGGCTCTGGGATCATGCAGGTGGACAGGCTGTTCTCAGTAGACTCCTGGCTATGGAGGACACGTCTAGGCTTTCCCCAGATAATTTGTCACAGATTATGGATTTCCTTTAATTCATTTTTACAGCTGTTTAAACATTTAAAAATACATGTAGGTTGTTGAAGAATCGGTTGGGCTTGTTACGGATGTGGTTCCTCCTTTGCTGAGTGTTGGCTGTCTGCAGGACAGGCTGGAGGCTGGAGCGGCAGGACTGGTGTGGGTCAGTGTGAAAAGGGCGACTGACTCAGTGTTCGGAAGGACAGGCACATGGACCATAATTAGGGTTAAACCAAAGGAGAGGTGCAGGGACAAAAGGTAGATTAGGGTTTGTTCCTGAAGCATTATCAAATGTTGGTCAAATACGCTGCGATCTACTGTGCTGTGTGAAATGGGAAAAAAATCTGCTGCAGTCTTTTTATACTCAGGCATCCTTGTTCAGAAGCTGAAGAATTAAAACCAAGACTTGTTGTGGAGACGTTATTTAATGTGACCTTTTAAATTTTTTTTTTTTTAATTTTAGACAGTGACTCCAGAGGGGAAATGAAGCTAGAAAAACGCATGGATGCAGCCTCGCCTGCAGCCTGCCCAGATGTTCGCGGATAATCTCCCCGAGAGAAATTGAGCCCTCGGATCAGGTAGCTCGTCAGAATGAAGAAGATCAGCCTTAAGACCTTCCGGAAATCTTTCAACTTGAGTAAGAGCAAAGAAGACGCGGAATTCATGGTCGTACAACAGCCAGCACTAGCCGGTGACTTCGGCAAAGAGGAGTCCTTGTTCGGGAGCTGCTACGGGAAGGAGATGGCCGGCTGCGAGCTGCACAGCGAGGACGAAAAGGGCGGCGGCGGCAAGAACCGGGCCAAGAGCGAGAGCCTCATGGGCACGCTCAAGAGGCGGCTGAGCGCCAAGCAGAAGGCCAAGGGCAAGGGCGGCGCGGCGGCGGGGGGTGCGGCGGACGAGGACACGTTCTCGTCCTCGTCGGCGCCGCTGGTGTTCAAGGACGCGCGGGCGCCGCGGCCCATGCGGTCCACGTCGCTGCGCAGCCACCACTACAGCCCCACGCCCTGGCCGCTGCGGCCCACCGCCTCGGAGGAGACGTGCATCCGGATGGAGGTGCGGGTCAAGGCGCTGGTGCACTCGCCCGGCGCCGGCCCGGCCCTCAACGGCGTGCGCAAGGACTTCGGCGAACCCCACCTCGGCGCCCGGGGTCGCCAGGGTGTACGACTCGGTGCAGAGCAGCGGGCCCCTGGCGGTGACCAGCCTGACGGAGGAGCTCAAGAAGCGGGCCCCGACGACGGGCCCCCCCTCTCCCCGCTGCTACCTCCGCTGCAGACCGACCCGAGCCAAAGGACATTCTCCGGGCTGGCCGGCCCGGACGCCCACGCGGCCGACAGCGTGCGCTGCCACTTGAATTTCGACCCCACCTCGGCGCCCGGGGTCGCCAGGGTGTACGACTCGGTGCAGAGCAGCGGGCCCCTGGCGGTGACCAGCCTGACGGAGGAGCTCAAGAAGCTGGCCCGGCAGGGCTGGTACTGGGGCCCCATCACGCGCTGGGAGGCGGAGGGCAAGCTGGCCAACGTGCCCGACGGCTCCTTCCTGGTGCGGGACAGCTCGGACGACCGCTACCTGCTCAGCCTGAGCTTCCGCTCGCACGGCAAGACCCTGCACACCCGGATCGAGCACTCGAACGGCCGGTTCAGCTTCTACGAGCAGCCGGACGTGGAGGGGCACACGTCCATCGTGGACCTCATCGAGCACTCCATCAGGGACTCGGAGAACGGCGCCTTCTGCTACTCGCGCTCGCGCCTGCCGGGCTCCGCCACCTACCCCGTGCGGCTCACCAACCCGGTGTCGCGCTTCATGCAGGTGCGCTCGCTGCAGTACCTGTGCCGCTTCGTCATCCGCCAGTACACCCGGATAGACCTGATCCAGAAGCTGCCCCTGCCCAACAAAATGAAGGATTACCTACAGGAGAAGCACTACTGACAGGACCGCAGCCCGGCATCGTGCACTTTGGGAGTGAGAGAGAGAGACTGAGATACAGTTTACAGACTCTTCATCGCCATCAGAATCTTTTGCTGCCATACTCTTTATTTCAGTTTTATGTGTAAAAGAGTGTCCAGTCCGTTTAGGGGTGGGGAACCGTCCGCGAGGTGTCTTGGGTTCATTTTCGTTCTTTACAAAGGGAAGTCTGGAGGTTTGAGGAGGTGTGAAGTCTCTTCCATCAACGCGGAGAATAATCACAATGTGAATGATCAGATTCTCCTTACCCACCCACCCCCAGTCCTTTGCTGCTATCCACTGTGATTTTATGCATTAAAAGCACATTTCATGTGTATCCAGTCCTTAGTAGAGTTGAATGAAACTTGCAGAATGAACCTGTTATGTCTCTCTTTCAATGGCCCATCTTCAAAGATAGTGTTGAGTCAGCATAGCCGTGTGATTAATCGCAAGAGTTTACACCTACACCGAAAATGATTTTTAATTTCATGCTCTACAAAGGTTTATTCAGAATTGTGAACTGACATAACCTTGGGTAATAGAATGCAGGTCTGCGACATATCTTTCTGCCACATTCGTTTCTAAATTATGTTTGAGGTTGTGCTGTCTGTTGGTTCTTAGAAGCTGGATTTTTCTGTTGCCTTCATTTTCATCTTGTGGTTCGTCTGTTTTTAATAAATGGCCTTACATTAAAAAGTTGTAAAGAAATGTATACCACCAATTTAAAAATTGTTGCCTTTTCTGTCATTAAACTCTGGTACAAATTGGCATAACATATAAAGACCTATGGAACTAGAACTATTAAAGAAATTATTAGATGATTTTAGTTTCCTGTGATAAGCAATTTTTTGTTATCTATACTTTCCTCTGGTAAAATGTTTTATCTGTGATTTCTTTAGCTTAGACAACATTTTCTTGGGTGAACTTGATGTTGAAATGCTTTTCATAAATGGACTAGATCCTCTTGCAACGTTAAAGTCTATATAAAGTTTTAAATTGATCTGAACAGAAAGAAAATGTTTTAAAGTTGGGTTTATATTTTTCTTTAATGTAGTCACCATTAAAATGTGCTAGATTTAACACTTCCTTCCCCCACCAAAAAAACAAAAGCAACAAAACCAAAAAATCCCAGTGACTTTAGTTGAAAAATTGTGGAAATTGTGGTGCACTGTGTAACAAAAATGTTAACACCGAGTCAGGTGTGTGCATTTACCTACCATATATACTGCCATTTATCAATAGGGTTTCTGTTTTTAATTTAGCTAAGTCTTAAGTAAATTAGCATCGTTAGTTTTTTCATCTCTTTTGATTCAGCCCTTTGTGGGGTGGGGGTAGTATGTCATAGCCAATACTTTTTAGTTATTTTGAAATGCAGTGCCTATTCACTGCAGATTCTTTAGTATTTTGAAATTGTTCCATCCAGAAGATGTTTCTAGCTACATAATTTTAAAGGAAATGTTTCCCCTTCCAATGAAACATGTAATTTAAGACATTTCTTCCTTTTCCTATCTCTTATCCCCATTAAAAAAAAAAAAGAGTAAAGGTCTTAGGTCAAATTTAATAACTTTGTCATTCAGACATATCAGTATCCCCGTTTTTTTTTTTTTAAGAGTCAACTGAGGATTACCAAGAAAAGGCCCAGTGTATTAATACCTGTGTTATGGTATTTTGACTTAAAGGGGAAAAGGTACTTAATTTTGGTGGAATGTTTGATTGTACCTTGTTGCAAAGACTCCTCATTCATTTTCTGATATGTTTTCACCTAATAAGATGGAATATGGAGTATACTGTAATAATATAATTTAATTGTTCATTATAAGCTATTTGGATTAAGAACTATTACAGAGTTGTAAACTTGTTATCAAATTAATGCAAGACATTTAAACTATTTTTTTGCAAAACTATTTATTTTTAAACAATTTAAAGTATATCTAGGGTGAGTTAAAAGTCCCTGTGCATCTATATTAGATGGCAGGCATTGTCACAGAGTCACTGTGTGTTAATAATAAGTGTTGAGATGGCTTCTCCGTGTTTCTAGAAGCATTGACATGTACTCTTTGTGAGACCGTGGTGCACAGAGGTCTTTGGACTGCCCTGAACCCTGTCTTGTGTGGGCGTAGCCTGTTCCCCACGCCTTCCTCATGATAACCATGTGTTTAAGATCGAGCCATTTGGTTTCAAGTTAAGATCATCCTGATTTCCATATAAATGTCTTAAAAATTGTATTTTGTGTTTTTATGGAGGGCAAGTCTTGATACTGTTCTAATTCAGAAAGCCAATTCGTAGTATACTTTTGTATGTTCATAATATAAAATACCTTTAAGTAAAATGCCCTATTCTAATCCAATTTCAGATTGCTAGGGTCTGATAGTGTATCAATAAAAATAAAAGTGTTTGCCAAGAAATCATTTACAAACAGAAAGGAATATTGCAATTTTTTTTTGCTTTTGTTTAGAGAGAACCATTTGGCAGAGGCAGCACAACATAATGTGAACAATTGGCTTTATGGGCTAGTAAAATGGTCTGGTTAAAAATGGAAAGGGGAAAAAGAGAAGTCTTCTTCCTGTAGTTTTTGTGCAGGTAGCATTTGGGTGAATTTCTGGATTCCGTTGAATGGTGGCTTAGATGACATGGGTGCTGCTTATAAGTGATTTTTTAAATGTTTGCTTCTGAAAATCTGAGCTCAAGGCAAGAGAAACACAGGAAAGCTGTATCCTTCTGTCGTACGAAATGAATCAGAGTTGCTTTTTATCAAATATCTCATCCCAGAAACATGATGGAAGCCAGAAGCTATTTCCAGGCTTACTAGGACACTATTGTGCATTTTTTTTAAACAAATAATAAGAAAGCATAGAAAGTACTTGAAAAAGTCTCCTTTCTCTTTCTAAGGAAAACTGTGCCCCATTTTGGTGCAATAATTTGAAAATTTTAGAAGGTCAAAAATGTCACAGGAAACGATCATAGAATTTAAAATAGTTTTTAAGGAAACCAGCTACACAGGGCAACCATCTTGCTGTTAAAAGAAATCGTGCCAAAAGGCTAAACCATTGGAATATAGGAAATAAAACCCAAGTACAATATACGTGATAATTTCTGAGCCAGTATTACTAAAACAGGATAAAATTTACTGAAATCTTCAGTAGGTTATATTCAGTGTCCCTGCTAGTGCTACCAGTCTGAATCTCTTTCTTAACAATGCTTTCAGAATGCCAATTTTGATCATTGTACAGTTCACATTGTATATGAGAGAGATTTGCTTTATGAATGATTCAAAATAATCCATTTTAAATCTTCATGGCTTTTCATCCAATGTGAAGTCTTAATTTGAAATCACACTACCAGCAATAGACAGTTTCGTTGAAAACTCTAATAAGGAACACTTGCCAGTTCCATAAATAACTTTAAAATTCTAAAACAAAGTATTGGTACGCTAGTAATCACAAATTCGGTTTCTTTTAATACTTTTTTAATCCTGTAAAGAAGATTTTTTATAAACATCCTTTTTATTAATCAGTCATAACATGGCGAATGTGTAGTTGCTGTTTCTGAAAAGTGATCCAACCTCTACTTCCAGAGATGATGAAAAATTCTTATAGAATTTTGTAATAAGTATACATGTTGGGTTAAAGAGATTTTATAGTTGTCGGAGTGCCATGGAATTAATACTTGCAATCCAGATTGCTGTAGTTTACACTTTTTCTGTATGTTTCGAATCAGGTGTGTACCATTTGTACTGAGAACACCACAGAATGAATTATCCAAAGTCCATTGATTTTAATACGTGTTTTGGTTTGTAAACAAACTATAGTAATTTCTTGCACATTTTTGGAGATTAATCGTATAAAGAATTTATGTATCTGCTTCTGGATACAATGTGTAAATAAAAATTTCGTTCACAAGATCTGCCTTGTGGTCTATTTAATAATCAGATGCAGAGTTTGACCTGTAATTAGTATAGGGCTAACTAGATAATTTCTGGATGTCCCATAAACTGGGCAGAGACTGGAGGTAGGGACCAAGTTTTAGTAAAACAGGAAGAGTGAAATGGTGATAGGGGAGACAGTCAGTGTTGCTAATATCCTAAAGCCTTCAGCACAAAGGCTGGAGAGAGTTGGCAGAACATTTGCAAAACAAAGACTAATTAAAGTGAACACAGTAATAATAAAACCTCTCTAACAGAATGTTAGGCCAAACGATAAAAATGTTTGGATTTTGACATTTAAAAAATATGTCCCTTATTACTTCATGGTATTTAATAGAATCAGGTGATCTTTCTGTAGGAGTTACTTAAAATCCTTTCATAGAAAATGACTTCTGATAGCCACTGAGTTGCCTTATATGTTATGAAGCTCTTGAAACACCACATCGGGTTGAACGTTCACTTGAAAATCTGTCGTTCAGTTAACGTTTTAACAGGTCTTTTATTCTAGCTAATACAACGATAAATTTTTAAATGACCTGGTTGAGAATATGTCACAAATTTTGACTTTCATAGAATGCAAATAATGTCTTGTTCTAACCACGTTTTCTAGAACTGGTATCAATTGACAGCATTGATTCCAGTATCAGACTTTGCTGATGGTGGTGCTAATGAAATGGGAAATTAAGGAAAAGAGATGGTCAGGCCTCAAGAACTATGTAGAAGTTTAGGCTTTATAGACATAACACCCTAGCCAAATCGATTCTTACTCATTCAGACAGAGCAGACCTGTTTCTACAGTAGAGATGACTTACGGAGAACATCTGAGAGTGAGTGAGAGTCGCTCAGTCGTGACCGACTGCGACTCCGTGGACTGTAGCTGCCAGTCTCTGTCCATGGGATTCTCCAGGCAAAAATACTAGAGTGGGTTGCCATTTCCTTCTCCAGGGGATCTTCCTGAGCCAGGGATCGAACATAGGTCTCTTGCATTGCAGGCAGATTCTTTACCATCTGAACCACCGGGGTAGCTTACTATTAAGAGACATTTCTAAGTATAAAGACAGGTCAACTTAAAAAGTATCAGCAGATACATGCTTGACTTTATCTTATAACCTATAGACAATACATTAGGTAATGAATCCGTACACCTTTTCCAAAGGAATACCCGAGACAGAAGTATCTATAAAGTGATAAATGACAGTCATCAATCAGATGAAATAATATAGATGAAGCTCCTCTTAATTGATGGTCATGCAGACAGTACTCACTGCCACCTCATCTTTAAATTCTTTTTTTTTTAACCCCACAGGTTTTACTTATGCTTTTCAACTTTTCTGAATCAAAAATATTTTAACCTTTATTTCACTTGAATTTAGTCCCTATTTGTCTGCTATTTTAATCTCCAGTCTTTTTTCAACTCTTTAGCGTCACTGAAACTTCATTTAAAAAAAAACCCTTAAATCCTTTTGGGAATTGGAATCCAAATTCCAAGTTTAAAGGCCTCCCAAACCGGAAAAACCTAAAAAAAAAAAATTGACTTCTGTTTTTCCTGCTGTTTTTGCATGACTTGTCTTGCTAATGGATGTTTTGGCCTCATCCGCCTTCCCCATACCCCTTCCCCAAGCTACCTCCCCAGAATCCAGGGCCTCCTGATAACACCAAGAGCCTGACACTGACAAAGAGCCCAGTAGCAGCGGCATCGGCATCGACATTAAATATCCATATCTGGGCACAGCTGAAGTTTGTAGTCGTTAGACTCCTGGAGTTTTGTTTTGAATTGCGTTTTCCCTGTTTCATACCAGGTAGCCTCCCACCTCTTCCGGAAGAATTAGAGGAGTCTCCTCTTAGGAGAGGCTCCTTCAGATTGTAAAAGCCTAGGAGAGGCTGACCAGAGCAGGGATTATCAATATTTTTACAGGGTTTATGAACAGGGCCAGTTGCCTTGGCCTAGAGGTCATTTGGGGCCGTCAAATTCTGTCCTTGGTAACTGGCTTGCAAATAAGGGTACATCTCAAGCTGGAAAGAGACTCCGATCACGAGCCATGGATTTCACACCAAGGAAGTTTTTAGGAAGCACAGATTCTTTTAGGAAGCTAGCTTTTTCTGGTTTCTGTTCTGTAAGTCTAATGTGTGTGTGAGTGTGTTAAGTCGCTTCAGTTGTGTACAACTCTGCGACCCTATGGAAGTCTAATACACACTGGTTTTTGATAACAGCTTAGGTCATAAGTTGTGTGTGTGTGTGTGTGTGTGTGTGCTCAGTCATGTCCGACTCTGCGACCCCATGGACTGTAGCCCGCCAGGCTCCTCTGTCCATAGAATTTTCCAGGCGAGGATCCTGGAGTGGGTGGCCATTTCCCAATGCAGAGGCTCTTCCCGACCCAGAGGGCGAACCCTTGCTTCTCCTTCCATTGGCTTGCGTCTCCTTGCTTTGTCTCTTGCATCCCCTGCACTGGCAGGCAGATCTTTTTCTTTACCACTGGTGCCACCTGGGAAGCCCATAAAATGTTCTTTTAAGTATATGGGCTTCCATCTTGGAGTCTCATTAAAGAGAACCTCTCCTCCTTTGTGTAAATAATCTGCCTTCTGTCCCCACCGCACATGTAACAGCTTCAGGATGCGAGTCTCTGGTCCTCTCCACTGAGAAGTGTCACTGTGAAGCCTCCCGCTCACCTAAATGGGCTTCACCGCAGCCCATTTCTTACTGTAGTCTCTGGCACATTTTTTTTCTTGTGGCTGGCAAATCGTTATCCCCATTTGGCGCTGAGAATTACAAGCCTAACTGTGACCATGGGGTGTGACACTTGCCCAGAAAATCAATAGATGCATTGATATATCTTCAAATGCAGAAGAATCCATTAGTCTGCAAGAAAATGGGAGTTTTCCCAGAATGCAGTTAATGTAATCAGTGGGTAAAACAAGAACTGGATTTGACACTATTTCTCAATTATGATAGCAAATGAACTGTGCTTCAGTGTTGTTCAGTCACTAAGTCGTGTCCGCTAAGTCATATTTCTAATACCTGATACCTCTAATGCTTAACGTTTATTTCGCATTTCCTAAGCCCCATGCAAGGCAGACACTTGAGGGTTATAAAAAATGAAAGTGAAGCACAGAGGTGAACCTTCCCTTAAAAAAAAAAAACACACACCAGTTTTAAAGTCATACGGTCTGGCTCCAAAAATCTATGTTTGAAGCCAGTAGGATACACTTCCTTCCTTTCTTCAGGGCTTTCTATTATTTGGAGCGTTTCTGTCTGTGATTGTCTGGGAAAGAACTGTAGCATAAGTAAATGAATGACCTACTGTCTTCTCTAGGGTATTAGTCTGTCGCTTAAGCAAAAAATACTCTTGTCTAAGCAATGGCAGAAAAACACTGACAGAAGCCTGGCTGGTGGTGCATCTGGGGGGCTTTATCTTCTATTACTGAGGGAGGTGACCACTGCTGTACCTTGTATGGTCTCGTCAAGTTTTCTTTTAACTACCTAACATACTAACATAAGAACAAGATTCAGTGAAGCTGAACTCTGGGGAGGACTTCTCCACATGTTTAACATAAGAACAAGATTTAGTGAAGCTGAACTCTTGGGGGGACTTCTCCACATGTTTGGTGCCTAAGGAAAAGCATTAATTCTGGGTTTTTTTTTTTTTTTACCCCATTTGGCGCTGAGAATTACAAGCCTAACTGTGACCATGGGGTGTGACACTTGCCCAGAAAATCAATAGATGCATTGATATATCTTCAAATGCAGAAGAATCCATTAGTCTGCAAGAAAATGGGAGTTTTCCCAGAATGCAGTTAATGTAATCAGTGGGTAAAACAAGAACTGGATTTGACACTATTTCTCAATTATGATAGCAAATGAACTGTGCTTCAGTGTTGTTCAGTCACTAAGTCGTGTCCGCTAAGTCATATTTCTAATACCTGATACCTCTAATGCTTAACGTTTATTTCGCATTTCCTAAGCCCCATGCAAGGCAGACACTTGAGGGTTATAAAAAATGAAAGTGAAGCACAGAGGTGAACCTTCCCTTAAAAAAAAAAAACACACACCAGTTTTAAAGTCATACGGTCTGGCTCCAAAAATCTATGTTTGAAGCCAGTAGGATACACTTCCTTCCTTTCTTCAGGGCTTTCTATTATTTGGAGCGTTTCTGTCTGTGATTGTCTGGGAAAGAACTGTAGCATAAGTAAATGAATGACCTACTGTCTTCTCTAGGGTATTAGTCTGTCGCTTAAGCAAAAAATACTCTTGTCTAAGCAATGGCAGAAAAACACTGACAGAAGCCTGGCTGGTGGTGCATCTGGGGGGCTTTATCTTCTATTACTGAGGGAGGTGACCACTGCTGTACCTTGTATGGTCTCGTCAAGTTTTCTTTTAACTACCTAACATACTAACATAAGAACAAGATTCAGTGAAGCTGAACTCTGGGGAGGACTTCTCCACATGTTTAACATAAGAACAAGATTCAGTGAAGCTGAACTCTTGGGAGGACTTCTCCACATGTTTGGTGCCTAAGGAAAAGCATTAATTCTGGGGGTTTTTTTTGCTAATAAATAATGAAATTGCCCTATTGTACTAGTAGCCGTGATTGTCCACCTTCTCTCTTTCATTTCCTATTCCCGTGCTCAGCCAACTCTCTTTCCACACCCTGAACAAGAACTTCCTTACAGCAGAAGTTCTAACTATACTTAAACTCTGTCTTTAGCTTCTTTGCCTGCACTTAAATGGGTAGAAAAGTATACCACCTGTTCATATGATAAATGCTGTGATCAATCTAAGGAACATTCCTTTCCACGTATCTGGGAAATACCTGCTTTATGGGCTCCCCCGTGGGTTAGAGGTAAAGAACCTGCCTAGAATGCAGGAGACACAGGTTCAATCCCTGGGTCGGGAAGGTCCCCTGGAGAAGGGAATGGCTACCCACTCCAGTACTCTTGCCTGGAGACTCCCGTGGACAGAGGAGCCTGGTGGGCTACAGTCC